TTGTTCCCATTTTGTTTTCATCTTTGCCAGGAAATTTGAGTTATCAAGTTGTTCAATAATGCTCCTGATTTTTGAGTTCTCACGGTTGACACATATCTTTTGGGGTTTCTGTCTTTCCTGTGTGGCTATAGGCCTACTTGTCAACCCTCCCGATTTTCCTGGGAGACTCGAGTTAGGCATTGCCATCTCCTGGTTTCCTCTCGAGGCAGACAAACTAAGTTGTTCAATAATGCTCCTGATTTGTGAGGCCTCACCAATGTTTTCATGTTTCTGTCTTTCCGGTGCAGCTGTCTGAAAACCTTTGTTATGTGACATTGCAGTGATTCAAAAGCAACTAGCAGACTGCACTCACAGAGTGTAGATCTCAGCCAGATGTGCCTGGAGGCATGTGGGTGGGAAAGAGGGAGTGCAGGTCCTGCCTTTGTAAGGACCCTGCCCACTTTCTGTCTTTCTTTAGATAGATTCTTTAGATAGATAGATAGATAGATAGATAGATAGATAGATAGATAGATAGATAGATAGATAGATAGATAGGTGCAGGGATTGCTTGTTTTGATACTCTGCAGCAGACACCTGCAGAGGGGGGTTTTCAAACGCAAAGTTCCTTCCTTTTTATTTATTTTAAAAGTTGTAAAGACCCTTTTGTGAAGGTCTACCCGATCAAACTATCAGTAAAATTAATTAATAATAATTTCGCAATTATGTGATCATGAAAAGATGTAAAGATTGTTGAGTGCTTGCGACTGCCTCACAGTGACTGACCTGCTGTAATGCTGCAGCATCTGCCAAGGCTGACTGCAAGGGAGACGCTCACAGAGCTGCACACTGAGAGTTGCAGGTAGAGGAAATAAGATACCAGAATCAAAAACATTTCATGCATTTTTCTGAAATCTAATAGGGCCGTTTATTCTTCACTCTTTACTTTGATGTCAGGAATATTAGAAAAGATTAATGCTAGTTTATTTATTTAGATATATGATTAGATTCTGTTGTGTTTCTCTGTGTGCGAGCTGCTGTCCTAATATTTTTTCCAAGCTTTGTTTGAGGGAGACATTAACTTCTGGTGAATCACATTCTTCAAATGCTACACCGCTGAACTGATGCTTCTGATGATGCAGATGCTTGTGTGCAGGTGGGTCAGAAATCTACTTGCCCAAAGTAAGTTTTTACTTGCTCTTATACAAATTGTTTTATTTATTATTCATGCAGCACACCTGGACACACCACCGGTCACTGAACAGATTTCTGCCTCACTGCCACAAACAACTGTCTCCACCTGCTCGCATATAAAGCTGTCTGCTCCCAGCGCTGTTCCAAAGACTTCTATTCCTGTCATCATCACGCATAGACCAGTAAACCGAAACGTGCACATCCCACACAGAAATAATAGTAATCTTATAAGGATTAGGACAACTGCACCAACTCCAGCACCCAAAACAAACTCATTTAAAATGGCTCTGTTCAATGTGAGATCACATTCAAGTAAGACTTTTATCTTAAATGAAAATCTTGTCTGCAAATCTAGATTTTATGTTTTTAACTGAATCCTGGTTGCAAATGAATGACTATAGCCAGCTAGCTGAACTGTGTCCGCCTCAATATGATTGTTTTAGTCAACCGAGGGTCAGTGGTCGTGGTGGTGGGTTAGTGAGCGTGTATAGGAAAAATTTTAAATGTCATCAAGTACACTGTGATGAATTGAACTCCTTTGAAGTTCTCACTCTTAAACTTGGAGGGCTGCAACCTATCATATTTGTTATAATTTATCGCCCCCCAAAACCGCCTGGAGGATTTTTATCAGAACTTCCTGAATTTTTATCTACTCTCGTTTTAAATTATGACAGAATTGTTCTTTGTGGTGATTTTAATATTCATGTTGATGACCCCAACAATGTTAATGCAACTGACTTTTTAAATATGGCCACTTCTTTCAACTTCAAACAACATGTCAAAGGGCAAACCCATAACTGTGGTCATACACTGGACTTTTTACCCTGGGTGTCAGCATTTCCTCTGTGGAATTGGTGGACATGACCATATCTGACCACAGATGTATTTTTTTAGCTGCGATTCGCCTGTTACTCATGCCGCCTCACCAAGCTCCGTGTGTTCTCGCATCTTTAATGAACAAAGTGTTTCAAAGTTTTGCGCATTCTTTCAGAGCCAAAGCCAACACCTGTCTGATTCCAACACCAACAATCTGGTCGATCACTTCATCATATCTGCTTATCGTCACTAAATATTACTGCTCCTCTAAAGGTTAGGCCTACGTCTAAAGCTAGTAAGCCACCCTGGATAAATGACAGCATTCGCAGCCTAAAAAGGGAATGCAGGAAAGCAGAGCGCAGATGGAAAAAATCCAGTCTCCAAGTCCATTACCTCAGTCTGAAGGATTTATTAATTAACTACAATAACATGGTTAAGGATGCGAGAACACACTATTTTTCTAAACTCATTACTACACATAAACACAATCCCAGGTTTCTGTTTAAGACTGTGGATCAGCTGGTAAACCCCTCCTTGTGCCTCAGCTGGAAGTAATGATGACTGTGAATTGTTTTTATCTTATTTTACCAATAAGGTGGTTTCAATCAGAGCCTCTATTACCCCCGTGGCCTCTTACTTAAAAGTCCCCCTTAACAGCAACAAGAGAATTTTAACCAGTTTTATCCCATTGACTTGTCTGAGCTTTTAAAAACAGTATCACAAATGAGAGTGTCCTCCAGCCCACTTGATGTAATACCTACTTACTGAAAGTAATGGATTGTATTGGGCCCCATTTGATCTCTGTTTTTAACAGCTCCCTATCTACTGGTTGTGTCCCTGATTATTTTAAAACGGCTTGCGTGAACCCACTTTTAAAGAAACCTGGTTTAGATCCCTCCCTCCCCCAAATTTTTAGACCAATTTCAAAACTGCCTTTTATTGCAAAGATTCTTGAAAGAATTGTGTCCAAACAGCTGCTCACTGTACTGGAAAATAACAAAATATTTGAAAAGTTTCAGTCTGGTTTCAGGAAGCACCACAGCACTGAGACTGCCCTGCTTAAAGTCACTAATGACCTATTAATGTCTGCTGATGATGGTATGTGCTCAGTCCTGGTACTCCTGGACCTTAGTGCTGCTTTTGACACCATTCATCACAACATCATGTTAGACAGACTGAGGCACTGGGTGTGAGGTTGCTTTCTTTTTTACAATGGCTAAAATAAAAATTGCTGATTAAAATGATTATCTTGATGTCGTCAGGGAATGCATATAGGAGACATCCTTACAAGGAAGTTACAAGTTTTTAAGTTTACCAAAAATATATAAAATATATACTTTTATCTCTGTCTGCTTGTTTCTGTTTAGTTGTTCCTTCACTGGTATTTTTGTATCTTGTTTCAACCTGCAAATGTCAGCTTGCTATTTCAACAGCTGGAAAACTCCAAGTTCTTCTTTCTTCAGCTGTTTAAGCAAAGATCACCACCAAACTCCTGCAGGTCCTAGTGAAAATGTGTGGTCAGTATTTAGCTTAGTCTGTGTGCTACAAATGTTTTTAAAAGGCACATTTATTTGATTAGATCAGGTCTCTTCAAAGGTTTCGTTAGGTAAAGTTTATTCTTTCCCCTTGTTTGTGGGCCTCTCCAAAATGCATTAGTATGTATTTTATTTGAGAATGGATTCGCCCCATACAAAACATCCCTACCTGAAAGATTTATCAGCTTAAGGCAAACCAATGTCCTGATAACAGTGTGTTTGCAGTGTAGATGGGTGGAAGGTATACATAGATAAGCCTCAGCAGGTTTGTGACACTGCAGACAGCGGGACATGTATGGCCCTTGTGTTGTGTCTATTTTTCATATGGAGCCATTGCCTAAACCCAACAAGTCGGCCATTTTGGATTTAATGGCAATTTACACAATAAGTAGTGGTTCAGAAAATAGTATTTGCATTGATTTGGGTGGAATATGTGGTGTCCGAACAATAATGCTGCGATGATGTGTTGAGAAGAAATCCGCTTGACACTGTTCTTGAACATAAAAGTTTATTAAATCAAGGAGTTCAGCATCAATTACAAGCTCTGCAGCAGCTTGGAGAGTGACCCAGCCCGATGGCCACTCTGTCTCTCTGTACATCAAACATAGCTTATATAGGATGTGTTTAGGTATCTGTTAGGTACCATAGAAGGGTTTGAGTCTGCAAAGTAAAAGGTCAAACCCATAGAAGGGTACAGTACTATTCTGAGGTAACAAAACAAGGGGTTAGAGGTCAAATTCTATAGAAGGGTTCAGTCCCTACATAACCACCAATCACTGCTCTCCCCTTAGGAGGTCACGGACCCTCTGTCCTGCTGCTTCAGTGCTATTTTAAACTGTTATGAGTATATTGGACACCACAAATAAATCTTTAAAACTATTACTACTTGGACAGAAAGTAGTGGCTATTTTGGTGGATTTAGCCACGGAGCAGAGAGAGATAGCTAATATGGACGAGCGGGAGAGGGCGTGAATGTGGATATGAAGTGCATTGCTGACACAGGCTAGCTGTCCCCCCCCTCTCCAGTAATTGTGTTAAATTAAGCTAACCAGCTGCTGGATATAGCCTCATATGCATTTACTGGCAGATGAAAGAGTGGTATCAATCTTCTCATTGACTCTTGGCGAGAAAGCAAATAAGAATATTTTTCCTAAACAGACAAAGGCTACCATATACTGTATGTAGCCATGATGTGAATCAGTTGTATCTAAGGTCTACATACAAGTCTCTGCTTTTTCTGAGAGATTTTCTTGCCCACAATCACCATGATGTGTAACTAGATCAATTGTCTTCCCAAGCTAGTTGCTGATGATTGATTTGGTAGTTTTCTCCCTCCTAGCTATGCTCACCTATATTCTAACCTCCTCTCACCTCATCTTTTTCTCTTCCTCAATATTTTCCTTCTTTTTAGCTTTAAGTAACACCCCCACACTAGTTCCCAATTGACCAACCAGTGTATAAAATAAGCGTACAACAATGTACAAAATATAACCTCCAAATTTATTTGTATAAAATAGACATGCAAAGGGTTAAAACAAGACTGAGGCTAAGATAGTTAAAAAGAGAGTTCAAATGGGGGAAACTGTTAGTTAAACGGAACTGCAGTTCGTCATGGCTGGGTGTGCTCAACTTCGTCTTCCTGCGTGGGCGAAGCTAAACACAACAGGAACGGGTCTGCTGTTGGTCACAGGCTGGTTGGTTGTAGCCTCACTGCTTGGGCCTCTGGTAACTCTACTAAGTAGCGGTGGCGCTACACTGGCAGCTCCCCAGACCACGACCCAGCCGTGTACCACACTCTTGCAAAGAATCAGCAGCCTCAGCACACCCGCACACTGCACACAGGAAACAAACAGAAGACTGTGAACAACATTAGACACATCAGACACTACCACCAGCCCACATAACAAAAGCTACCCCCCAGGGAAGAAGACAGTCAAAATCACTCTGTACCTGCACACAGGAGACAAACAGAAGACTCTTGAGCCCAGTGGGTGGCTGGTTAAATTGTTTGCAGATGGTTGTCATGCCCAAGCACACCTGTCTGCCATTAGTCCATACCCATGCAATTAACCCAAGTGCAAAACCACAACCACCAAATGCACACTCGCTCTAAGTGCTCACCCCTCACACTACCACTGCACTCAAAATTGGCTGATACAGGTCTACCCCGTTACATTTACCTCCAATTTCCTTCCTTCTGAACTGTCCCATGCACTTACTCTCATTTCTTCTAACTTCTTCCATCTTAGCCACATGTATTTGCAGCACTTGGCGGCAGTAGAAGAGAGGAAGATCAAGTCCCTGGTGGCTCTGCTGGTGCAGACCCAGATGAAGAAGCTGGAGATCAAGTTGAAGCACTTTGAGGAGCAGGAGACCATCATTGACCGTGAGAAGGAGGCAGTGAGTGAACATTGCCCAAACCAAGAATAATGAAACCTCTTCATCATCTACTGACTCTGTGTTTGCACATTAAAGTCCCTCTGTGGTATTCACTTAAATTCCTAAACCTAAATTGTCAAAAAGCTTTGATGCTCTAGCTTTTGACATTTGTTTATTTGGTCTATATCCAGAAGCATCCAGAAGTGACACACACACACACACACACACACACACACACACACACACACACACAAAAATCAAACACATTCTAAGAAATGACACACCCACAAATCAGATTAATTTTTTTAGGACACAAAAACAAATGTTTACATGCAATGAAATCTATGCTTTAACACCTAGAGTTTTCTCATTACATTTTAGCCCTGCCCCCTCCTTCAGGCCAGTCCATGCCCAACCGGATGATGTGTGCTGAACCACACCCCTTTAGGCAGACTCTTTCAGATTCATTGTTACTCTCCACCTTATTTCAGTGGTTCAGAATGACATCTGCACTGGTGTGTTCACTGTTCACCGTTACTTTACCTGGTCCGTGCTTGGTCTGTGTCTGTGTTTTGTAACAGAAAACATCTCTCTCTGTGTTTCTCAGCAAAATACTAAAATGGGTTGCCAAATGTACCTGGGCAGCCCGCCCAAGTAAAGTCTATATGTGGGAAACACTGAAGTTGTTTTTTTAGCTGTAAGCCATTTTGGTATGAGTACCATGGTGGTGTTATGATAATCATACTATGAGACTACTATGGTACTGGTTCCATGGTTTCTTTGACAGTACCATAGTACATGTAAGGTTCTGTAGTTTTTTGACAGTAGGCCTACCATGGTGCAAACTAATATGCACATGTGATAAAATAAAGTATAATTCTTTGACTAGGAGGATTTTTTGTGTATACTTAAAGTATCAAAAGTAAAACTACTTGTTAGCTAACACAATGGGCCATGCGCCCCCTTCAGTCAGTTACTATACTTGTGTGGGTACAGTGTACAATACCAATGGGAATAATTATCATGATCCCATAGTTATATTTGAGGAACCAAGGTAAAATCTGAGGTACTGCAGAATGTACCATGGTTATCTCTGAGGTACTGCAGAATGTACCATGGTTGTATCTAAGGTACTGTGGTATGTATCATGGTTATATCTGAGGTACCATGGTACAACTACGGTATACCATTGTATTGAACTATAGTATATAGTGTATGGTAAAGTTTCTTATGACACCACAAGTTTTGATGAGCATCTACTGAAATATTGAGATGTCAATTTGACTGTAATTTATTTAACATCTAAAAAACATTTTCCAAGCTTTAAGGAGAGGGTGGGAAAATATAATAAAGATATTAGCTTCTGGTAAATTGCCAGGGGTTCTTTAAATGCTACATGGCTGAACTTATACACCTGATGATGCAGATGTTTACGGAAGCTTTAAGAAAAGGAGAACTGCTCCCTTCTTTATCACAAGCCATCCATCCATCCATTATCTACTGCTCATCCTGCGTACAGGGTCGCGGGGGTTGGAGCCAATCCCAGCTGACATTGTGCGAAAGGCAGGGTGCACGCTGAACAGGTCGCCAGTTCATCGCAGATCACAAGCCATTATTACCTTATTTTTAGGAAGGATAAGGATCCATATGACTGTTCACATCAATCAGCTTGACATAAATCAGCTTAGATCTATAGAATAGACAAAGTGTTCACATCTCTTATTCGTCCTGATCTGATGGGATTTATTAGTAAAATATCTCATCAGATAACATAAGGTGTCTACTTGATATATTTTGTTCTCTTCAGTAATTGTATACTTCAATTGCATATATTTTATTGGATGCTGAAAAAGCATAAGATTGTGTGCTATAAACATCTATAGGTTACTTTCCAACAGAAGGTGTAGGATGGGAGTCAACACAAAAATGTACTTCAAAACCACAGATTATCAGCCATCTTTGTTTTTATTGTGGAGTTACGATTCCATTGATCTTTTGCAGTCAACTCCAGGGGAATGAACTCATCAGTCAGTTCTTATTTTTCTTGTTCTACAAAGAAAAATAGAAAAGGGGGGGATTATTGACACTTGATACTGATATTGTGAAAGGATATTATGCTTTAAAGGTCATATTATGCTAATCTCCAGGTTCAAAATCTTATTTAGGGGTTGTACCAGAACAGGTTTATAAGGTTTCATTTTCAAAAAACACCATATTTTTTGTCATACTGCGCATTGCTGCAGCTCCTCTTTTCACCCTGTGTGTTGAATGCTTTGTTTTAGCTATGGAGTGATGCATCTTGCCTCTACAAGATCTTTGTTGGAAGGTGCACATGCGCAGTACCGAGTTAAGGACTATTAGCCAGTCCGTAGGAGACACGGCTAATGGTTGAGCTGTATATGTTCCCCTCACCCGCTTAGCAACATAGACAGAAACTCTTGTTTCAGAGTGGTGAGTTATTAATCTGTAAAAGATGCATCTTTCATCCATAAAGTTTTAACTGTGCACTGTCTCTACATCACGGTAACTACTTTATGTCCATTGACTGCCTGGAGGGCAGCTAATGTTTGGAAGGGAAAGGAGAGGCAGCAGGCAGACGTCTTGTCATTGTGTGCTGCAGAGTGTTTTTCGACCAGTGTTTCTGAGGGCATGTCGGACTAGTCACTAGGCAAGCATTATGACGCGCATTTTGCTGTGACGTCACAGAGAACAAAGGGAAAAGGCTGGACTACAAACGAGCTGTATTCAGGCAATTTAGAGCAGTGTTTACTGTGGGAGATGGGAACTCCCTTTGGGCTGGACTTTCACTTTGCAAATCTATTACATGCACAAAAAAGGTATATAACTCATTAAAGGAGAGGGGAAAATCCAAAAAGCATATTATGACCTCTTTAATGTTTAAATTTAACATTTAAATATAGGGCAGTTTATTCCTTACTTTCTTTTGGAGAGACTGGTGAATCACTTACCTTATGTGCAAAGTACAAGGACAATCCCACTATCACCACTGCTGCAGCTGCTACTATGAGTAAACCAGTTGGGGTTAAAGCCAGGCTCGTACATCCGAAACCAGCAGCTGTGCAATAAAGTCCTTCCCTAAAAAAGGTAATGAGAACCAGTCAGCATCTGTACTTAGTGTAGCGTGTCCCCTGAAATTGTTATAACTTTAGTAATCCTCTGACTTTTCATCTTACATCATCATCAGGTTATAGTTTTTATTTGTACTTTAGTAAATGAACAAATATCCCAAAACTAATGACATCTACCTGAACTGTACTTTGTGTTTTGTACTAATCAGCAAATCTTAGTAAGTTGAACATCTTACCTGCTGTAGGTATAATATTACACTGTGGCTGTAGACTAAATCAGTTAAACGAGGCCATGAAATGAAATAAAATAAAATTACAGCACTAAAATGATATAACAACTATTAAAGCTTTAACCTCATGGGAATGTAACTTAGTTTGTTTAAATATCTAATGTATGCACTGTTGGCAACCCACCCTTCTCGGCCACTACGCTCCTTCAACGAACGCCGCCTGGCTCTGCCATCCCTTCACACAAAGCAATCCCAGTCCCGGCATTTCTTATCTGTGACACCACGATGGTGGAACGAGCTACCACACACCATCAGAACAGGCTGTCCCCCTCTAACTTCAAGAAGCTCTTGAAAACTCATCTCTTCTGAGAACACTTCAACACCTCTAACTCTTAACCTCTAACATGCACTTCCAAAGCTCTTCTTCTTTTGTCCCTTTACAGTTATCTTGTATTGATAGCACTTTTTTGTTAACTCTTACTTCTTTCCCTAGGTATTTACACCATTGATGTGATATGTGCTATTAGCTCTTACTAGTATGTATTGTCAATTGTAGATCGTGCTGTATTTGATACTCTGTTGATGCTTGTATGTTATATATGTTTGGATAAAAGCAAATGTAATGCTGCTTAAAAATAAACTCATTGTCTCTTTATCACTCAACCACCTAAAAACAGAACCACCTATTGTTAAAGGTAAAATTACTTACACAACCAAAGCCATCCTCAATTTCTTGTCTCTCGACAGCGGTCAGAACAGTTGTTCAGATTTAATGTGTGTGTGTGTGAGTGATTTTTAAGCTGAAGGCTTGTGTTTGGTTTCAGTTGTGGGCTCACGCCTACCGGAAAGTGTAATTTGTCTGATTACATTCACCAGTGGACCAGGAACGTTAAGACACATTCATAAGCTTTGTCACCACCTAGTGACAACACTGTTGTCTTTCTCAAAGCACCTTAAGTTTATTTGCTGTAGCAGACAAATGCCCCCTATTATCGCCTTACACAGAATAAGGTTCTGGTCAATTAACAGTCTCTAAACTCACAAACTGATGTCTAGGATTCAAAGGTTTTTCCCCTCTGCTGTCTCTGCTGTCCTAACTCTCAGCACGATGCATCAACATAACATTTTAGTTAAAATTACGGCAGAAGATTAAATTGTTATTATAGGAAAAGTAGGATAAAAAAACATTTTTTCAACTGACCTTTTTTGAGCCTCTACTAAAATGTTGAGATTTCAACATGACTGTAATTGAAAACATCTATATTAACAAAAAAGCACACTGAGAATTTCCCCAAATATACAATAATAGTTATCTTCCTCACTACCTCACCTGTGTATTCTGGGAACAGGTGTATCATTCAGAAGTTTTAGTGTTTACTTTCAGTTTTATGTGTCTTAGCCTTTCCTGTACGGCTGCCTGAAGGGGTGCGGTTCAGCACATAGCAACAATTCAAAAACAATAACTGAATGCTGACATTTTTCAGTTTTTAACAGTGGTGGAGGAAGTAAATCCTTTACTTTAGTAAAATAGCAATAGCCTATGACAGTGTAGAAATACTTCATACAAGTAAAAGTAGGACATTTAAAATGTTACTTAAGTAAAAGTACACAACAACTAGCATCAAAATATTACCACAAAGTAAAAGCCTACTCATACATTCATGATATTATGTAACATATTTTTGGATTATAATTATTGATGCATAAATGTGTCGGCAGCTCCGGTTGCCGGCATAACTTTAATGTTGCAGCTGGTAAAGACAGGCCCAATTTCAAATACTTGATATACTGCAGATTAGCTTAATTTAAAGTCATCTCAAGTCAAATCATAAATTATTTGTTAATTGTGTTGATTTTGTTTTGATTATCAGATTCTGCAAAGTAACTAGTAAGTGAAGCTGTCAAATACATGTAGCGGAGTAGAAACATTTTCCTCCAAAAATGTATTTTCGGAGTAGAAGTATAAAGTATCATAAAATGGAATTACTCAAGTTAAGTACCTCAACATTAAGACAGTACTTCAAATGTATTTATATAATATATATATCATTTCCATTGCCAGTTTTTAATCACAAAAGTGCTGACGAGTGGCTCTCCTTATATACATAAGGAGCATAATATAGTATAATTTAGTATAAAGTATAATAATAATAAGTAAAGTATAATACAGTGTTTTATATAAGATGCAGGTTTTGAATACACAAAATATACATTTGTTATGCAAATGCTGTAAGCTTATACGCACTTAATGTGCCTTGGTGGAAAAACCTCACCTCTATTAAATTGCATCTTCAGGTCAGTTTTGACTTACTAGTTATATTGTTCATGATGCCCTATTTGTAAATATAATATAAAGTCAGCATTCTATGTACACTGTTGCTTTGCTGGTAAATATCATTTTAACTAGAATTCAAAAACTAAACATCAACATTCAGGAAAACATTTTTAACATCCTCTGATTATAGTACCTTTCATGAAGTCATGCTCCAGTGGTACCTTATAAAGTGGAATGACCACCACTTCACATAAAGTGATCAGCCAGCTTTGTTTTTGTTAGGTGCTCATGCTTGTGGTTATTTCACCATTTGCACAGGAAATGACGCAGGATGTGCCATTTGTCTGATGACCTTCAGCAGTGCAGTAGGAAAGGTAAGAAACACTTTGTCACCACCCAGTGGCAGCACTGCTCCCTTTGTTAAAGCACCCTGAGTTTGTTTTCTGCATCTATGCAGATTGACGCCCCCTATTGTTATCATCACACCGAAGCTTTTGGTCTATGTTCAACTCTAAACTCTAATAGTGACATGTAGAATTCATAGATTTTTCAACTCCGGTGTCTCCGTTCTCCCAACTCTCAGCAGCATGCAGCAACATAACATCTGAGTTAAAATGAGGACAAGAACAAGATTCTGTTGTTAGCATGTAAAATAAGAGCAGGATATAAATCCTGCCCTAAAACTGAGAGATGTGGGTAGGAAAAGCAAACATGGAGGGGTCTTCAGGGAAAGAGAGAGACTCCAACTAACCAGCCTCAGCTGCAGAACCACCCAGTCAGAGTTATAACCACCCTACCACTGAGGACACCAGCCTCCAGAAGCTCTTCAACGGGGCTCACATGGCAGTCACCCTGCTATATTACCCGCAGTTCCAGGTTCTGCTTCCCTTGCAATTTCATTACATTGAAATTACAGAGCTAAGAATCTGTTTCTAAAACATAACTCTTTGGTGATCTTTTAATAACACAAGAATAGTTTAATAACAGGAAGAAGAACTTTTCCTATCATGGCATTTGAGAGAATTTTGAACATGCAAGTAATTTACTTTGTCTTTACACAGCTAGATGTGAGGTGGTGACACGTCCCGACAGCAGTAACTTCAGTGAGTGGAGGTAAACACACAGATTCACATATTTCTAGTATGCTAAAAATTTGAAATACACAATACACATTCTCTGTCAAGTGCCATCCAGGACTCAAACTGAAATAATCAGAACTTTCATAACATGTAAACATTGTTCTACAAGTAAGCAAATCAATTTTATTTTATTTTTTTACACATTAAGCATTTAGTCTATGCTGATCTTCAGAACTACATACAGAGTGCAACAGTAGGAAATAGTTTGATTCAAGAGATTTCATCATCCAGGCTACAGTAGATGATGAAAAGCTGCTGCTCTGAGAAGACTACACTCTGCTACCTGCTCATCGTTTGCCACACATATTGTATAGACTTTCTGGATGCAGATACAGTTTAATGAGCACCTTTTTCTTTGCCCAAGAGTGGATGCTGCAACATTGGACACACACTCACTGACACACACAGGGAATACACTGGAGGGGATTTGGACATCCTGTCCACCCCTCGCTGTTCAACGCAGGAACAGGATGGAAAAACCGACGTGGCCTGAGCACAACATGCACAAACACATGCACACACAGAACCTGGCGTCGACTACGGTGTGCTATTCTTCCATTCTGGTTCTCAGTAAGATCCATCTGTTCATCCTGCACAAAAAGAAAACAATTCTCCTTTGCTCCCACACAGTCTGAAAACTAACCCAACCTGCCTGCGAAAAAATACCAAATACTGGAATTAAATCAATCGCTATATAGGATGAGCGAGAGTTTAAAGACAGGACATATGTACTGGTGTGTTTTTATCATGCCAGATATGTGTGTGTGTTTGTGCGTATGGGATGGTGCGGATGTAATTTTGTTCTGCTCTGTTTGGCTGTGCATTAGTGAACATTTTTCTGTTTCTCTCTATCTCCACCACTCTTCAGCTCCCTCTCTTCAATGTTCAACCATGTCTGTCCATCCCCTGAATCCCATCACACTCTCTCTCTCTCTCTCCCTCTTGTGACTGTCCCTTTCTCTATATTTCCCTCGCTCACTCTGCCAGCTCCTCAGACAATACCCCACTCTTCTGTCATTGAGAGTGAGGATGTGAGGTATGGACTCAGATTTAGATTTGATGGGTTTTTTTGAACGATAATTGATGGGGAAGAGCGGGACGCTGCACACAGCAGGGGCTGAGATCAATTCACTCGCGATTCAATGAGTAATGAGTGAAAATGCAATTTGTTCAACAGGAACAGAGCAGTTGGTCTTAATTAATTCATCATGTATTTGACATAATCTCATTTAGGAAGAGAGTGGGTAGCCCTTCACAGGCCATTTTGATAGCTGTCTGGGACAGTAAAGGAGACAGGGAAACAGGAAAATGTACAGAGCAGTGATTAAATGTGTTTGGAAGAAATTCTATTAACGCACTTATGGAGCGATAGTGAAATGTGGTGGTGCAAAGGCAGTGTGAAAAGTAGTGGTGGTGGGGAGGGTACAGCACCAGATGCCATTGTCTGGAGTCTATATCACAATATGACAGTAAGAGGATTATCCACCCACAATACACACACACACAGACACAAACACACACACATTGCCCTGACCACCAAAATGTCCCCCCTTTCCACAGGCCTGCCACCATTTAATACATGCCCTGCTCTCCCGAAGTATAATAAGCTATCCATTATTTTCTCTCTCTCACAGACATGCAACACCCAAATAACCTATGACATATAAACACCACGCAGAGAGAGAGAGAGGGACAATTGGACATAATGTTGAAACACACATATCAGCTGCGGTGTAAAATTGAACATATTGACTTTCAGGGACAACAGACGCTGCTTAAATCCCCCACTCAGCCTCATTCAACATCAGCAGGCTGGACACTGACGAGCGTTTACTCGGGTGTGTGTCTGGGTGTGCGTGCTGGCACTTTGACACCCAAACGAACAGTGTGCGCGCGCGCCCTGCTGTGTCTCGCTTTGCCGCTCATCGCCTATAGCCAAAGGAAAAAGGCTTAACGGACCGCGTGCATGCAGGCAGGCAGCGACGAACCCGGCTCATTAAAATCCCGTCTGCAGACCCTCCGCCGGCCGCGCGCAGTAGCCTGCTACCACAGGTCCCCGCGGTGCAACCGACGGACCCCAAAGCGCAGAGTGACACGCGCGCTAAAGGTGTGGAGGAGAGGGCACCAGCTCGGTACAATGGAACCGAACCCAAGCCGTTAAACGGTTCACACACACACATCAGCTGTGACGGAGGCCAAACGTTGGGGTGGATAACGGCGACATGGCGAAAACCAGCAAGATCTGAACTTTGGAGGATCCGCTTTGAGGATTATTGTACAGCCCCACAATCTGACCGGTACAACGAGGGACGGGACCACAGTCTGCATCAGTGTGTCAAACGGATAACCCACGGTATGGCGCGCGCTGACTGTCGTTTGGGAACCTGGCAGGTGCTACTGACCATCTCAATTGTCCTAATCCCCCTGTCTGCTCACGGTAAGCCCACTGCACGACCGGAGTCCCACCCTGTGCGTGTGTGTAGCCTATGTGTGCGTGTGTTTGTGGAAAAAAGCGCGCACGTGAGTGAATCAAATCACACCTCCATAAGGATATGGAAAATGATTGATACAAGTGTCCATGTATGCGGCATGGGAATACAACTGCCATTTAAAATTTGGGCATTTGGTATTCAGTAATCTTTTATTGTCAGCACAGTCTGTAAGCCTGACAGTAACCTGCTGAGCTTTGAAAGGCTGATTTAGAATTCGGTTTTGTATTGGCGCTGATATTTAAATGCATTAATAATGTCACTGGGTTCATTTTTACACACACACACAATTGCATTCAAAAGTCTGTAAATCGCTCGGTGCTGACAAATCCAATGGTTTGATCTGATGTTTTCTGTCTCTCATGCTGAGAATTGCTGTAGGCCTATTGATCCTTAATGACACTGACTGTGGCCAAGCTCATGTCCATTCAGAGTGTGAGGGGGGAAACACCTAGGCTATATAAAGATAACTGACTTGATGTAAACGATATGCGCTCTAGTATTGCAGGCTACATGTAGGCTATATAGAAGGAAGATGGGCCTGTGGATCATCAGAGAGAGACAGAGACATCTGACAGTTCAATGGCCTATGCTGCAGCTGCCACTGGCCGCTGCGGTTCGTGGCCCAGACAAAGGCGGGATTAGGTGCACCGTGGCCAGGCTACAGGGGGCCTATTCACGGTGCTGGAAGGACTGAATTCCTCCAGACATTCAGGGGAAGCCCGAGACAACCGGGTCCGCTACACTACACCGCCCCCTTCGCCTTCTCATTTACTGTCCATCCCTTGAGACGCGGAGGCAGGCGGTGTGGGAACGACAATCTGACACAACCCCTCTGTAATCTGTCTGTCTAGCACGCACGCACGCACGCACACATAGGCGCGCGCATGCGAGTAGTGGAAATGTGTAAAAAAAATTTGGAAACGTAGAAATGAACGCTGCTGCCGCTGCCCAGCAACAGGGTGGCTCGTGCACACAGAGGGTCGCCGGGGTTCACGTGGGCACGCGCTGGTACTCTACCGCCCCCCTCCTTCTCGCCGCATCTCGCGCCCTCAATGTGTAACCAGGCGTTAACGCTGTGACATATTGACCGGTAAATATAAGCCTGTCTCGCGCTTTAAAGCCCAGCGACCACGTGGCTGTCGATATGTGAGTCATTAGGAGGTGTATAGGCGAATTTTCATTCATTTCATTGACCATCTGGAGAGAATATGGAAGTGTGAGATGGTCTATTGTTTTCTCACAATTAGCTACTGAAACAGACCAAGAAAATGGAAAAACAAAATACACCCAGTGGAAAATATATCCGTAATATTATAATAATATTAATTATTAATAAAACTATTAATAACAGGCTACTATAGGTCCAAAGGCTCGCGATGAATCTGAAGGACAGATTAGCTACCTCATTTTTCAGGTAAACCAACTTTAACTCATGGTGCAGCTCATGCACAAAATCTTGCTGTCATAGCAGGTCTGTGATGATAAACGATCCTATAAAACTAGAGCTGCAACTTTTTATAATTGATTAATTTGCCAGTTGTATTTCATTATAATTTCCTAAAACCCAAGTTGACAACTTCAATGTGTTTGTCAATTGAAGTATTTTTTATATAGCCCAATAATTTGCTTTCACATCTAATAATTTCAGCTCTACATCAAACCAGTAAATCAAGCCACACATGCACGCAAACATATAGAAACGCAGATTGTCTGTGAAAGCCTTGTAAAGCATTATGGATGAAATCCAGACTCTTGGGTGCTCTGCCATGTGAGTGTGTGCTCTGTGTTCACGGTCTGAGTGAAAGCATACTGCGAGGTCCATCTGCCCCATAGCCCCAGAAAGCTGATGACATGTCACAATAGATCAGATCATCAGCATCTCCTTGACTTTATTCACATACACACACACACACACACACAGAAGCAGAGGAAGAATACTCTTTATAGTTTAGGAAAACTAAAATGCATGCTGGTTAATGGGTTGATGTTCTTTTATACAGTCTTTGGTTGCATGTTGACTAATTAGAGGTGTCAACAATGAATAAGAGATACACTCAGAGCAGCTGGACACACATAGCAGTGCAACATTTTACAATTAATGCAGTTTGATTGTGTGTTTGATTGAAGTTTGTGATTTTGAATTTAAATTACACGTTGTGCCCTGTGTATTAACTGGATCCACCACTGACTGTGAATATAGTGGTTGTCGTAAACATCGTTCTCGTATAGTAAAGTGCCCATACACAGCTTTATCAATGTGAATGTGGGTAGTTACAAATTTGAACTAGTTGTGTCTCCATCCAACAACGGGGTGCAGGACAGCTACCCATAATTACCACAGAGTCCTGCTGGTAAGGTAAAGGCTGCTGGGAGTCTGCGCTCTAGCCAATCACAGTGAACTCAGGTAAAACTTGTTACCATGGTGACATTCTCAGCTTTATGCCAGAGGTGAAGAGCTGAGCAGCAGTTAAAGGCACAAATCACACCATTTCTAAGACGGAAATCAAATTTCTAAGCAGGGGCTCATTCGTGCATTCATTTTGCCCGTCTTGCTCTTGTAATCTCTTCATGTTCCCTTTTGCTCTTGTAATCGTTATTATAAGACTGCCAGCTGCTAACACGATGATGCATCTAAGTCTCGGCAGGGAACAAATTGGCAGATTGAACCTTTTTAATTGAAATTTGAATCTGTTCTGTAATCAGTTTGAACTGCTGGAGCATCTCTTTGACAAACTGTGAAGCATTCGAGTTCATGCCACCTCAAGTTTTTCCCAGAGATGGAGTTGGCACATCAACACTTACTGACTGGCTGGCTGATTGATTGAAAAACAAGAGAGCAAAGAGAGTGAACACTGGATTCTCTGTTTCCACTGCAACTCCCTCGCTCCGCTCCTCCTTTCAACATGGCACCTCTTTACATCTCACCATAGCAACTGTGGTGTGTGTGTGTGTGTGTGTGTGTGTGAGGTGAATCTCATGGTTCCTCAGCCACCACGCGTCTTCGTGACTCGAGGCACGTTCAGATGGTTTTAGTATTAGCTCTGAAGTGCCAGACACTGAAAGCAGTGATCTCATTGGACACGGGGATTTCAGTGTGGCAGTGGGAGAGAAGCTGTCCAGCCAAGTATTTGGTTGCATTTGGCCGCAGATGTACCAGGCCAGTGGAAAAGTGTGAAGAAGTGGTTTCTTGAAATTCAGTTAACTGTGGGAACATTAGCCTACCACCAGTGCAAGAAGAATATTCCCAAAACTCTGCAGCAGCAGGGTCTTCTTTCTTTCCTTCTTTCTTTCTTGTTCCCTTTGGTTTCCTCTTAAAATTATAGTTTGACATTTTTGGGAAATGCACAGATTTACTTTTATGCCAAGAGTTACTGTACATCATCTTAGCTTAGCTTAGCAAAAAGAGTGGAAACAGCTAAACCAGCTTTATCCAGAGGTAACTAAATCCACTTACCAGCACCTCTAAACTTCCAAAATTATCTTTAGATGGTGCTGGTAAGAAGAATTTGTTACTTTTGGACAGAGCCAGACTATCTGTTTATCTGTTTCCAGTGTTTGTGCCAAGCTAAGCTAACCTGCTGCCGGTATCTTCACATTTAGCATACAGACAGTCAGAGTGGTATCAATATATTCATCTGACTCTCAGCAAGAAAGTGAATAAACATATTTTCCAAATGTTAATTTATTCCACACTGTCAGACAGTATATATTCTCTCAGCTTTCAACTCTTTCCAACTCTTGATTGAAGCCATGTGATTTTACATTTGCATACAAACCCAAACCCATGCTTTTATGGCTGCACCATTGCGTCAAATGCAAATCTTTCCCAAAATTCAGCCAGAGAAGTTGAGTATTTTTGGAAACATTTGGATCTCCACTTGAATCTAAAATACTTCTGTGAGTTTGAACAATGTCTGGCTGCACAGCTTGACTTTGTGATGACCGGCCCATCGTAGCCCGCTGCATGTTAATAGGTTATAAGAATTCCTGTCCATCTGTACCGCTCTGTCCACTCTCTTGTCGTTCTCTGTCTCTCTGCCTCTGCCTATGTGTATGTGCATCTTTCTCTGTAGATTGCCAAGTACAGGAGAAGTGCCTGACCTGTCAGCCTCTAACCTATTGCTCTAAATCCTAATCTAATCCTCACTCAGTCTCGGTCACCAGAGCGCATTAGTCAGTCACTCAATGTGCCAAATCCTTCATCGCCATAGTCTGATTACACGGCAATCTTCAGCTCTTGTTCTGATTTCTTTGACAATTAATCACTTAGGTCTTAAACATGAGGGTTGTTGTTTTGGGGTTTTTTTTGCTGAGCCTGACTTTTCCACAAATCAGCTCTCTAGTGAAAACAAATTTTTATTGTGTCTAATTCAGCAGAAATTATGGTGAATGATATGGTGGCATAACAGTGTTCCCCGACAAAACTAGCCTGGTACAGCCTTAAGGCATCTCTGCAGAATACTTTAGGGATCCATTTCAATTATTAATGCTTCTGCCTCATCCTTGGTCCACAATCTTTATCAAACAAAACACAGTCAATACCTTGAGGTTAGCTCAAATCTTGTGTATACAAGCCTTTGTTTGTCATGTGTGGGACACACTCCTACACTTGTCTGTCATTGATGCAATAGGCTATTAACAATAAGATTATGTTAAAAGGGGAATTAATCAACTTTACACATATAACAGTCACTTTTTCTGTCATGTGGCTTACTACTCAGCCTGTGAAAACAGCTGTATGATGTTTTCAGTGGCTCTGGAAATGTGCTTTCTTATTGAGAGTTAGGCTAGATGAGAAGATTGATATGATCGTCATATCTGTCCATTCAGTAGCTACAACGACTCACCACTCACAAAGACCAGAAATAAGAGGAAACAGCTAGCTTGGCTCACTCCAAAAGTAACAAAATCTGCCAATGAGGATTAGGTGAGCTCTAGAGGTGCTGGTAGGTGCATTTCATTACTTTTAGACACGGTCAGACAAGCTGTTTCCTATTGTTTCCCACCTTAAGCTAAGCTAACAGGTGACTGGCTGTAGCTTCATATTGAATGGACAATGAGAGTCCATTGTCTGAGAATGGTATCCATCTTCTCTTCTCATCTAACTTATAGCGAATAAGCATGTTTTCAAAAATATTGATCCATTTCTTTAAAGACATGGGTGTTAACCAGGAAGCTAAGGGGTCTGATAAAAAGACACAATGGAGTTGAATAATGGGAAGCATAGCGTCAAGGGTTTTTGGAACTCAAAAGTCAGGATATCTCGACCTTTGGTTTTGACCATTCTTTCTTTAATCTGACTGCAAGTCCCCCAACTTTATAGAAGTGCCATACTGCATTGCCTCTTTAATGCCTTTTTGTGTCTGACTGACAGGGAGGCATTCACTGACCAGGCGCCATCATCACCACAACCAATCATTTGTCAATAAGGAGGCTTTGAACACCAGGATGGTGCTCAGTGATGACTCGGCAGAGAGAGAGCACTTGATTGGAACAGGCCTCGGGCTCGGGGCCAAACTCCCACTCAGCTCCACCAAACATCACCATTCTCATAAACATGCCCACCTAGACTTGGTAGAGGAGGACCCACCTGTGGGGGAGGAGCTCACTGCCGGAGGGGCGGGTCCAGACCAGCCCGCAAACCCTATGTCCGATGACGTCATCACCGTGGAGTTTCACAGCCCTGCGCCGGATATTGTGCCCTCTGATGTTGCTCTGGATTGGGCCAAAGCCCCAAAACCCCAGAAGCAAAAAGCAGGAGACCCTACTGCATGGACACTTTCTGACTTTTACGACTACCTGTCCCCTGACAACGACGTCTCAGCATTAGATACGACTCCTGAACCTGAGCCCACCGTGTCACCCCCAGCTGACATGGAGGACGAGAATCCACTCCTGGCTGGTTCTCCTGCTGTTCCTAACAATGTGAAGCCTAACATGGATAGTGGACCCTCCTTAACAGCTCCTCCCATGCCAGGGCTGAACAAGGATGATGGGTTAGGCTTAGGTGGCGCCATGGGCACTGACGGCTGCAGGCTGGGCTTTGTGCGCTCTGGACCTGGGGTGTGTGTGTCTCAGTGTGACATTGAACCCAATTTCTGCTTCAATGGAGGAGTGTGCACCGTGGTGGCAGGAATGGGAGCTTTCTGCAGGTGAGAAAAACACACTTAAACTGCACTGATTGGCTTGTTGTCATTGGCTAAACTGTAAGGGGGATTACACAGTCTTCCTTTTTCTTATCAACTTTAGTAATGAAGAATGAGGAAATGTCCGTTTTGTATAGCATTTACAAGCTGGCACTGACTTTTTAGTGGACAACTGGTACATATGCATATTTACAGTATGAGTGGCAGCAGGGGTGTTTGGGGAGGTCGTTCGGTGCTGTAACATTCAGTTTTTAATTTGTCCTGTTGGGACGATTCCCAATATGTTCCCTCTCCAACACAAAAGAAAAGATTTAGGACACTTCAGACAAGAGTAGTGAAACACAGACACGCACATAGATACAAGGATGGCTTAATGTGTCATGAGGGTTCGTCAAGATCACAGCAGGGTCGCCAGAGGATTAGCTCAGTTTTGGAGGCAGGGGGTAACGAGTGTGTGTGTTTGCGGGTGTGCTCATAGGCTGGTGGCAGCTGATGCACACACAGTATGCAGACATAGAAAGTATCAGGATGATGACAATGTAGTAGCGTCTGGGAGGAACACATATAAATAAAAACATGTTCACCACGCCTTGATAGCACCATATGTCCTGTGTAAGCTTGTAGGTAAACTGTTGCTCATCTCATCAGACCTGCTGAGTAGTACACACACACACACACACACACACACACACACACACGGACACACACACACTTCAAACAAACGTTCAAACACTTGCAAAGAGAAGGACAGGAATATGGAAAAGAGACAGACACATGCACGCAGGTATCCTGATACTTTGATCCCATTAAAGGCTAGGCTGCATGCCAAATCCCTGCTTGGCAGGACAGACCTCAGGACACCATGTCATCAGCTCAGAGTACCATTTTACACTGTTTTTACTTTGGCTTACATGCTGTGGCTATAAATATGGTAAATACACTAGTGCAGTGAGTACACACTCCTATTAAACCTCTTGGCCTTTAGGTTTTGGCAGGTCAGGAGAGAGGAAAATTGATGCCAAGCGCTGTTACATTGATCCAAAAGGCCAATATTGCTACTTTGTGTCTCTTTGCATCCAGGTGCAATGTGCAGGACTACATCTGGAACAAAGGCACGCGCTGCGATTGGGCGGTCACAGAGTTCCAGGTGATGTGTGTGGTGGTGGGCGTGGCCTCCCTGGTGCTCATCCTCCTCTTCATGATCATAGTGTTCTTTGCCAAGAGACTGCACCGCCTCAAGAATGAGAACAGGCGCCTTCGCAAACGCAGGTGTGTGTGTGTGTGTGTGTGTGTGTGTGTGTGTGTGAGTGTGACCGGGAGGTGAGAATGTAAAAATATGAGGCGTGTGTCAGTCTAACTCCTGTGAGATTTTACAATCTAATGAAATCAAATGATGAAGAGAGCATAGCAAGAGAGAAAGTGAGGGAGAGAGGGGAGAATGGAGCTAAATGGAGACGAAGACAAGCAGTGAACCATGAGAAATCTAATCAAATCAAATTTGATTTTATAGTCACAAGCCACAGTTTAGTCTTTAGGGTTGATCTAATTCCCTTTAGTATCCACTGAATTATCTCTTATTTCTTAGACTATGATGATACATTTTTGTGTGTGATGTGTGTGTGTCTACTAAAGGTTTTAACCCCAGTTTCGCACTGTGCAGAGCACTGTAGATAAATGTGGACCTGGAGAGATACAAATGCACAGAATAAAAAAAAACATTTTAACTGCAAATATTTATCACACAAATCTCTTTTTTCCCTCCTGCAGTAAGTACCGCGCACAGAGCAGCGAGCCACAGACGGATGGCCTCTCAGTTTCCACAACAGCCGACGGCTCGCAGCCAAACGTAAGGAAACTGTGTGACACCCCTCCGCCCGCTCCCCAAGCTCACACTCACAACCTGGCGTACTATGACAACATTATCTGTCAGGTACGCCCCAAATCTCCCAGTGTTTATTCTCCTTTTTCTCTCCCTCTGTTCATCTTCTTCGTGTTTCTGTTCCATCACATGCATCTGCGATTTCTTTTTTCTGTAATAACCTCCATCTGTTTTCCTCTTTGTTCATGATATCCTCTCCTGTGTTATTTCAGCTTACATAGTGATTTAATCCTTGTATCTGTCTGGGTTTTTCTTTCTCTGTGCATGGCCATCTATGTGTTGTGATCCACAGTACTAACACCCAGCTCCCAAGGGCGTAGGTTTTGTTTCAACATTGGAGGGGACACATATTAAGCAGGGGTCTTTTGAACCTCCCCCACAACATTTTGAGCATCAGACACTTCACTTCCTGCATTCTGGTGAATTTTTCTGTACAAATCTCTACCTTTTCTGCATCAATCTTTACTTATGTAAAGGGAAATAAAATTCAGGTGACAATTAAAAATTTTAAAATATAATGTAATATAATGCAGTAAGGCTCGCTGTATTGCTTTCAAATATGTTGCCCCTGTAGAAGAACTTGTCTTATTTAATATCATTCCCACTGAGTCAACACACATGTAGGCATGATTTTGCCTTCCCTCCTCTTTTGTGTCTTTTGTAAGCTTTGTAAATGACCTTTTCACATCAATGATAAATAAATCCCTAATTTTTGTAATATAATATTTTGAGAAGAAAATCAAAATTGAATGATAATAAAGTCATAATACTCTTTTAATCTACCTGCACTATACTCCGCTGTACATTGGTCTACATTATCGCTCTGCTGATATGGTACTATGCCCTTCAGATCATCTGACACACACAGAAACCCATTTGGGATTGTACTGGATGATACAACTGCGCTTCATTTTCTCATAATATTATGACTTAATTCTCGAAAATCTCAGATTACTATGATTTTTTTGTGGCCCAAATACTCCATCGTAGTTGACAGGCTACAATTTCTGCCTTTTTCTTTGTTATTCTCTTTCTAATTTGCGACTGACTGTTAACTGTTTGTACTCCAAATACACTGACAAGACACTGAGAGACAGTTTATATTTAAATCTTTTGATAATAATTATTGCTAGGGACAATTCATTATCTAGTCGCTGGATATTTAATATCCCAAACACAAAACCTAATACTACGCCCTTGACAACCACTAACTTCTCATTGGGATTTCCAGTAACACTTGTGAATGCACAGTATGTGTGTGTTTAATGCTTTTCACATTCACCGATCCCCTCAGAGGCCATCAACAACCAGCTACACCTGGGAATATAAACCCAAAAACCCTTATAACCACTTCCAGGTAAGCAGAGTGGAAACGTCCACATTGCCTGCAGCAGTTTCCCTCCCTGGCTTTGCTTTGACCTTACCCACTGTGCAACCACTAGATGCCAGATTTTGGCTCTCCTTTTTGCTGCAAACCTCACCTCCCCAAACGCTTCCTGCATCTCAACTTGTATCAGCTGTGTAGCACATAGTCTGTAGGTAAAATGATTAATCACCTCCTGCAATGTTTCCTGCAGCCAGTTGTTCAGAGGTGTTACGTAGTCACCGCTGTGTGATTAAAGAGTAAGTTCCCACATTTGCTGCCTCTCTTACCTGTGCCTTTGCAGCTTCCTGAGAAGCTCAATAAGGAAACCGAGCCTCCATTTTGTTCCTCGCTTCGCTCTTGTGCCCATAAAGCTCAGACAGACCGCCATTTTATAGTCCCTGTGAGCAGGTCTCCCCTTTTCCACCCAATTCTCTTCCAAAGGTTGTGCATGTAGTGCGTCTATAAAGTGAATTTCATTCTGTAGCAGCATGGGGAGGCGGGGATTGTGTTTGCAGGCAGATTTATGTGTGCCCCTGTTTGGTATTCATCAATCATACTTGTCTACTGGGTTACTATGCTAAAAGGGTATATAAGGTTACTAAGGCATGGTTAAAATTTTAATCTCAATAAACAATGATGTAACAGAGATAGACAGCCTATAAAGTCTATGAGATCGACAGAACAAAAGCATTTTGCTCCCATGACTTTAAGCTTTTTGAGCTTGTTGTCTCTGGTGTGAAAGAGTGTTTAGTGATTTTTGTCCAGCAGTAGCCAGTGTGACTGATCGATGCTCTACTTACTGCCCGTTGTGCCTATGACCTTCATATGTCTGTAAAATGCCAATGTCAATCAATGGTTGAACATTTACTAACTGTACACAGGCACAGTAGTTTTGTGGTCAGACGAACACAGCTCTTTCGCTGATAATTGCATGCATTTACTGCATTTAACACAGATGCACTATGCAAACACAAGCACACACTGGTGGATTTCCAAAATCATCTATTCGTTTTACTCCATTACCCATACTTGGCTGGGCTAAATGAAGTGAACAAATTGTGACTTGCTTTTTTTATATATATATATGCCACCGCTCTCAGAACTCTGCTGGCATTTCAATGCAGTGGTTATAGATGACACTATGCTATGCTCTAAATGTCAGGTCTAGAGGCTAAGTCCTGCAGGCAGATGGTCTGCAATGCAGTGTTTTCAATACCAGAGGTCCGATTGGTATTTTTTTAAATGCTTAGACATGAAAATAAGCATACAGATCCAGTATCAGTCCCTACAGTGACCCGTATCAGTTCAAGAATGATCATCTCTAAAATGGGGAAGCGAGTTCTTGGAGATATCTGCATGACATTACTGAATTGCATATTTTTGTTACTTTTAAGTAGTCAAAAGTGCTTGGAAGTTTGACTTGCCCAATGTCCCTGCAATGTTTTTGTTATTTATTGTTCCACTATTATCTAGGAGGATGCAGACTCCCGTGTGCATCCTCCACCTGGAGTAGCCAGCCTGTTATTTTCACTGTTTGGGTAGTAGTTTACCTGTGAGAGTGAAATGCACCACAGATGTTCATGGAATCCTGCTATGTTGTGCATGTTTTGTTGAACGCTGCATTGACTAGAGCAAATATATATTTGATACACATGAAATTATATAATAACATATCAATGGTAAAGCTATTTTCCATTTTCTTCAAGGGAGCTTGGGCACAAAGAGAGAACCATTTAAGTGCAGAGACAGGTGCACAGACATACAAACATGAGGAGCTGATGCACTCTAAGGTTGCAGAACATCTATTTACCGGTGTCTTCCTGCGTGTGTATATCAAGGTGTGTTTGTACATGTAAGAGGCATGTATAAAATGTCACAAACTCTGCCCACAGGATGAGCCTCAGAAGCAGGAGGACCAAGCAAAGTCCCCACAACCCAAGGAAGAGGGGTCAATGAACATCCTCAACTCCCATTCCCCCAAACACGAAAACAACCGCCCAACCTCTGTCGTCCATGACCACGGCCACACCCCTAACAACACAGAGGAGAATGCTGAGGTAAACATGCACCAGAACAACCTGGTATAATATCACCATCTGTCAGAGTGTGCTGCTGGAGAATCAGACCAAAATATTAAATGTGCACACAAACAACAGCAACATTGTGATAGGCTAACATTGTTTACACCTTGAAAAGTGCTTATTGTGTGTTTAACAGTCCAATCAGGCCTATATTCTAAAAAAAAGCACAACATGAATTTAAGGATACATATTGAGAAGCACAATAGTCATGTTTACAAGGCTGCCATGCCGATGCTGATCATATAGTGGTGCCGCTGCCTACTTTCTTTCCTCTATCAACCTCTTACGCTGGACTAAAATCTCTGGCTTGGACCAACTAATGACTGACTTTTCTCTCTACTGATGCCCTGCCTTGGTCTTCGGCCAATGAACTCTTGCTCCTTCATTGTCTCCTCTCCTGTTTCCCCCAACCCCTCCCCTCACCTCTGCCTGCCCCGCCTTAGTGTCTCTCTCTCTCTGCCCGCATGCATTGGTGTTATCAGCGAAAAGTGTCTGAAAACGTAATATTTGCAAAAGAAGTAAGTGGAAAAAAAGTGAATCTGTATTTGCGAACTATTCATATTTGACATTGCTAATAAGTGGATATGTCTAGATTACATGAGGTCAAAGTAAATGCTTGGAGTTGATATTTGATTCTATATACATATATTACACACGCTGTGTCTTGGTTTTCAATGTGATTTATAATACTTTAATGTACTTGAGGTTCTTTTGTACTTTTTTGGGTATATATGGAGGATTATAGTTCACAGTTGTTGGAATAAATCTTTTTAATTTTATCCAGCTTGTCCCCGTGTGTTGCTGTGAGCTCTACATTTCCCCCAGTTTCTCTCTTTCTCTGCATGTCTGCACATGATGAAGCTAACTGCCTGACTGCTCCCAAGCTAATAATAACTGAATGCACGGCTGACCCTGCTTTTGTGCTACAGTAGGCTGCTCACAGATTAAACTACACAAACACTGGTGACTGTGTGCCCATTCAGCACCACGGACAGCTCTCCCAAAGTCTATACCCCTTCTGTCTTTGAGTTTTCATTGATAAGAAACAGACATGGATGTAGAAATATCTGCTCGGAGCTTTCTTTTTGTATTCCTTTGTCTGTACTTTATTACTAGGCAATATTTGTTGTGTTCAACTTCACCTTTAATCTTTACTGTAACACTCACATTTTATATGCGTTCACAGTTATGGCCCGTATTAATTTCTATCCAAACTTACAATCCATTTCTCCAATTATCTGTAGATTTTAAATTTTTCACATTCTTAAATAAGTATAATTTGTTTTCCTGTTTTATTTACATGTCTAATGCTGATCATTTGTACTTGTCATCTGTCCTGTGTCCATGGGTGGATTACTTATCATCAGGCACAGGCCCACAGAGGCCCCAAAGCCAAAACTCTGTTACTGTTTTTATCATTTGGTGTTGAAAAGTCACAGACCGCAGTCAAAAGTAGAGATGTCCTTATCACATTCTTTTTTCCTGATGTGTTTTGACATTAAAATTTGTAGCTCTGCTTCAAGTGACCAGTATTAGAGGTTTCTTTAAAATGGCTTCCTGTAACATTTGTTTCAGAATGCTAAATTGTCCATGGACTTGTGTCAGTGAGGATAGAACAAAATGCTGATGTTCAGGAACTGTTTTCAACCTTTATCAGAACCTCAGAGATCAAGGATCAAGGTCATTTTTTTTATCATTATACAACATAAGGTTGTACAGCAAAAGAGGCTATAATCAATATTTTTGTATTAACATTGAATCACTTGACTGCTCTTATGTGAAATGAGCTGTTTGTAGCTGTTGTTGAACCTACAGAGACCTGTCACCCGATTCTGCAGTTCCTCTCAGCTCTAAAGAGCTTTGTAGCATGTTTCAGCTCATTGTTTTGGTCTTATAGCCCCAGCTTTACTGTTTTTGGTTCACTCTCAGCACTCTCATAGCATAGTGGTACATTTTGTAGCTATACTGAATTTAGTGTAACCTAAAAACACAGTTAAAAGGGGAGTGACTTTTTATAATAACGTTCACCCAGATTTCCAGATGTTTTCTAACAACTTTGTCATATTAACTTAAAAGGAAACAATATGTCAATGTTCACAGCTCGTTGCCACTGCCCCCAAGTGGCTTATAAATGTTGTTGCAGATTTAAGACGTCATGTTTGTGGCCAGGGGCCTTATGTCTCATAATTCATCCATGCCTGTATTTCTTTGTATATTTTTATTTTTATTATTTTTGCCTTTGTGACTGTCCCTGCATTGTTGCATCCTTCTCTACTTACCGTATTTCCACATCAGGATGGAGTGACTATTGGCCTGGAAGTGCTCCTCCCCAAAGACGCCAAGCTCCATGCAGAGACCAGCCCGCCCCTTCAGTATGACGTCTTCCTCTACAAGGTTGCCGGCAATGGAGACTCCGCCTCTCCCAGCCATGCCCCTCCCACTCATAGCGCCAACTCTTACTCCTCCTGTCATCCAATGCCCAAATCGCCCAAAACACCTAAAACACCCAAGTCGCCCAAGGTGCATAAGTCATACAAATCACCCAAACACCTACCCGGAAACCGTGAACCCTTGTCTGGGAGGCACTCCTCACCTGGCCGTAACTCGTCACCTGGTCGCCACCCATCACAGAGTCGTCACTCTGCGCCTGGGTGCTATTCTTCCCCCACCTGCCATCCGTCCTCCCACCAATCTCCCTCCCACTACAAATGCATGCCCACTTCCTCCTCCACCCCACCTCAGTTACGCAGGCCCAGAGGTCGGTCACAAGCTCACGGCTCAGAGCACTCAGGCACTGGGAGAGAGTACCAGAGTGGACACATTCGTCCATCCCCCTCCTCCCCTCACCTCACCCAGCCTCCTCCATCACCATCAAGGGTGAAGTACAGCCCTGTAAGCACCCGGTCCCTGCCACCACTCTCCTGACCGGGCCACCAGCCTGCATCCATACATTCAAACGCACAATCTGTCATAATCTAATCCATCCAACAATGTGTCCATCATGGCTCTAACTCTTTTATTAGTGATTTATAGATAATTTATCCATCCATCTATCATCCATCTGTGCACCCTGCCTCCCCACATTTATACCCAGGGGACGAACACGTCATCTGGTCTCGGTCCATGGAGCCAGAAAACTAGAACTGGGACAACTCTGCATACACCACACTCTCTCAAACAATACATGGATGCATCAAAATGCACACATAAAACACTGCGTAGTCTCTGCAGCCATACATTCACACCCTGATGTAAATAACAACCTCTCAAAGCTCAGGTTATTGCTCACACAAGCACAAAATGAACCACTACATGTGAACACGCTCTCCTAGCATGGTGCCAACGTCAGCAACTGCTGAGGACATAGTTCATAAAGGTCTCATAGAGGTCTACTACATTAGCCTTAGTGTTATCAATGGTTTATATAAATCTTTTGCTATTCACGTATGTAAGATTATTTCATGTTTTCACAGGCTTTTATAGTATGTTTTTCATGTTTCTAATCCTCAATAAATACATAATACAACAAAACGTGCAGTATTGTGTTCTAAAGATGGAGAGAGCTAAGAGGAACAAAGACTCAAAGAGACAGCAAGCCTAAGAGAAGAAAGAGGATTTTCCTCTTGTGTTGCCAAGCTGAGTGTTCAAATACATGTAAGGGACTCTGCCGCCACCTTGTGGACCCAGCAAACACTGCAACATGAACAGGGAAACTAAGACCCCTCCTAAATATGGAGCTCCATACAGTTCAGGTTTAAAATCCTCAGTGGAATAATATATAAAAGCAGAAAATGGGTAAAATCCCACATGATAATTCTGTAACCTTTTTAATGGCCTTTGTGTCTATTTTGTCCGATCTGTCTGTGACAGTAAAGTAAAAACCATAGTGTGTCAAGTAAGGCTGTAACATTAAAGGAAAACCCTTAAATGTGAAGAAAGGCAAGTCTTATTTCTTAGGAATGCAACTTTTCATCAGTAAGGAGAATAATGTGCTTTTTTTCCTTCACTAATTAGCAATCCCTTTTTGCAGTCCAAAATAATGTCAAATTGTTTTTTGTTGATAGTTTATGTTACTAAATGGAGTACAACAAAAGTTAAAATAAAATATTAGAAATCCTGTTTGGTATCTCAGAAAATTAGAATATTGTGAAAAGGTTCAATATTGAAGACACCTGGTGCCACATTCTAATCAGCTAATTAACTCAAAACACCTGCAAAGGCCTTTAAATGGTCTCTCAGTCTAGTTCTGTAGGCTACACAATCATGGGGAAGACTGCTGACTTGACAGCTGTCCAAAAGACGACCATTGACACCTTGCACAGGGAGGGCAAGACACAAAAGGTCATTGCTAAAGAGGCTGGCTGTTCACAGAGCTCTGTATCCAAGCACATTAATAGAGAGGCGAAGGGAAGGAAAAGATGTGGTAGAAAAAAAGTGTACAAGCAATAGGGATAACCGCACCCTGGAGAGGATTGTGAAACAAAACCCATTCAAAAATGTGGGGGAGATTCACAAAGAGTGGACTGCAGCTGGAGTCAGTGCTTCAAGAACCACCACGCACAGACGAATGCAAGACATGGGTTTCAGCTGTCGCATTCCTTGTGTCAAGCCACTCTTGAACAAGACACAGCGTCAGAAGCGTCTCGCCTGGGCTAAAGACAAAAAGGACTGGACTGCTGCTGAGTGGTCCAAAGTTATGTTCTCTGATGAAAGTAAATTTTGCATTTCCTTTTGAAATCAAGGTCCCAGAGTCTGGAGGAAGAGAGGAGAGGCACAGAATCCACGTTGCTTGAAGTCCAGTGTAAAGTTTCCACAGTCAGTGATGGTTTGGGGTGCCATGTCATCTGCTGGTGTTGGTCCACTGTGTTTTCTGAGGTCCAAGGTCAACCAGTACCTGGTTTAAGGACCATGGTATCCCTGTTCTTAGTTGGCCAGCAAACTCGCCTGACCTTAACCCTATAGAAAATCTATTGGGTATTGTGAAGAGGAAGATGTGATACACTAGACCTAACAATGCAGAAGAGCTGAAGGCTACTATCAGAGCAACCTGAGCTCTCATAACACCTGAGCAGTGCCACAAACTGATCGACTCCATGCCACGCCGCATTGTAATTAGTAATTCAGGCAAAAGGAGCCCCAACTAAGTATTGAGTGCTGTACATGCTCATACTTTTCATGTTCATACTTTTCAGTTGGCCAACATTTCTAAAAATCCTTTTTTTTGTATTGGTCTTAAGTAATATTCTAATTTTTGGAAATACTGAATCATCACAATTAAATGAAATAAACATTTGAAATATATCAGTCTGTGTGGAATGAATGAGTGAATATAATATCTAAGTTTCACTTTTTGAATGGAATTACTGAAATAAATCAACTTTTTGATGATATTCTAATTATATGACCAGCACCTGTATATCCAAAGCTAAGTTTGCCTAGTGACAAACAATGTTTAGTTAGAAATGGCATTGAAGAGTGAGAACCACCCCAGCATCTAAATTGACCAAAATGACATCTGCAGGTAAGTTTTTCAGTTGCTTAATGTGCTGCACCTGACTAGTTAATGAGCTATCTGATGTGAGCAATGAACTTTTCCGGTTGAACGTGTGTGTTTAGTCACTCATTTAACAAACTAAACTGCAGGATAAGATGTTTGTAGTGTGTTTGATAAGAAGTAGGTTTGTGCCTCTCATGCATCTTTTTGTACAACACAAGAATAAAAGTAATGCATTATTTTCTACGCATAGAATAATAATTTAAAGTAACATCATCATACAACTGATGATTCAAATTTTTATTTTACCTTTATCTTGTATAAGCTATGCAAAGACATGTACTTTCTACCATCTTAGTTCAGATTAGGAAAAAGAGGTGCAAATTGTAATTATGTTCACAGACAGAATGTGTTTTTTTTCATCTGGGTAGTATTTGAAGATTGTGGAAACACCTTCAGAACAGGAGTGAAAGTTGTTAAAAGACCCCTGTGGGACCCTATCATGAAACCAAACACATAAAATATACATATTTATGTTCTAATTTTCCTCAAAGGAGAGCACAAGTGGTTTATAGAACAGATATGCTGTAGCAGCAAAAAACATGCAATTAAATTCAGGTGGACTTTGAAACATGAAAACACACTTACCAACTGTTACTGATTAAACAGTATCCAGTTCAGACACAGAATGGAGAGAATGTGTTATTCTCTTTGAATGCCTTTATATGCTGCTAGTGTCTCCTGCACTGTTTCTCGTGTTGTAACTGTATTATTTATGATGTGAGGGGCAGTGCTTTTATCAGTTTGATGTTCACAACGTGGATCGGCTTAGCAGGCACTTCTGTTTCTTTAGGCAATTCAAATTAAACCTCTACATATTGCCCACAATGTGACCTCCTCCTCCACGGTGGTTAACAGCTGTAGGCTGCAGTGGCTCAGCTCTTTTGTTCTCTGACTTTTTCCTGGATGAAAAGCACCTTCCCCTTCCAGTTGAAACAGGCGAAGGTGAAGTTATCCTTCCTGCTGTTCTCATTCATCAGAAATAGGCTGTGTTGACATGAAAACAGTTACTGACAGGTTTTAAAGTGGAGTGTCTGTATCTCTCGGTAGCACTCAACTCCACTGAAAGCTCACAAGCTCTCCTGGTGTGCTTCACCTGCAAGGTGCTTACAGTGTGTCCTCAGTATGTCCTCAGTTGTCAGGGTTTTTTTTAGCTGTTGAGCATTGAGAAAGTTTCTCTACAAGGACCCAGAAAGATCAGTGGTTTGATTTTATGGTGAACCTGAAAGTAAAACAGCCCTTACTTGGATATAGGATTATGTTTTTCTGGAAATCGTGTTTCTACATGAGTGCATGAAAGAATATAAAGATTTGACTCAACCTTTTTCTTACAATTTAGCTGCAGTAAAAGAAATGACACACATCTGTGGGTCTGTAGATGACCTGGTCCTCCTTTAAATCCATGTATACTCATGTATGATAGAATAAATAACATCATAAATTTACAGAACTTAACATTAAAAAGTTGGTGGTTAATGGTAAAGGTAATAAGCTATTTAAATAACACCAAGAGTAATTTAACACCAGCTGAAAATCTTAGTTTTCGCTGACCTCTAGTGGTTTTGACATCACCGTTGGGTGTGGTTTCAGATGCAACAGAGGACACTTCTGGCCACACCCAACGATATGGTGTGAAACAGGCTTAAAACTTTTAGTCAGAGAAGGCAGAAAAACACTGCATTTTATCCTGGTGTTAAGTTGCTATTTAATAAGCCTCCAACGATGTGTCTTGTAGACACTATAGTACATTGCATTATTGAAATGCTTTACAGAAAAGTAGGAACCATGAGCAGACAGTAAAATGAACTACATAGATAAACTACATAACAAACCTAAAATACTTAAAGCACATTGCAGAAGATAAATGGTTTGAGCAAATAGTACAAATAATACAAAAAAATACAGGAAATAGGCTACCACATTCTTGCTGCCAGTAAAGGCATTTTTTTTCCTCAGAGGAGAATCTTGCAGTCTCTACAAGTCCAGCAACACACTAAAGTAAGACCACAAACTCTGGTCCTGTTATCTTAGCAGGGTGTATGTGTGGGGGTCAATCTAGCAATGATTTCTCTGCCCGACTTGATTAGAGTGCACGTCAAAGGAGACCTTTTTTCCGGATTTTGTCCTGTAAAGAGGTCAGTTGAAGGAGCAGTACTGTCTGCTTGAACTATTGGCTCATTTAAAAATAACCTGTAAAATATTTGGAACAAAGGTGAAATCATCCACAAAAATGTCATACATGTTCACAATTCGGTGAGCTGAGAGATTTGTCATAGATAGTTTCTGTCCACATCCACAGTTTTGTGAGTGAGTGTGTGTGTGTGTGTGTGTGTGTGTGTGTGTGTGTGTGTGTGCAGCTCCTGTATGAACCACTGAGCGGCAGCGTCGTCCCACAGTCCCGGCATGCACTGCTACTGTGGATACAGATACTGTAAGACCCCCTGGCACTTTGAAACCGCTGATCTGCATCTTCATTAGCATTCACTCTGTGTCCACTGAGGGAACGGGTGCTGATTCAACATGATGCTGTGATAATTGATATTGTTATCAAGTAGATATCTGGGTGATCTCTGATGATCTCAGATGTATTTAAAGCTCTGCAGGGGATGAGAGCTGGGATAGGTGTGTGTGTGTGTGTGTGTGTGTGTGTGTGTGTGTGTGTGTGTGTGTGTGTGCGTGCGTGCGTGTGTGTGTGTTTGCAAGAACTACTAGAGTGCATTGCCTGTTAGCGGCTTCATTACTGCTATAAAGTATTTTTGCTGACTCAAAACAGATGTAATTTTCCCTTACTTGCTCCCACTGTGCCTTCCCTTCTTTCTGTAATATATGCACACACACACAACACACACAAGTCTCCTTGAGATGCTTTCAGAGCAGATGAAGGTTTTTATAATTAGTGGAATACCCACACAGTGCTGTGAACTGACTGCAACACCGTATTCAACTTCATCATTTTTGACAAAGCTTT